ATCGTCCGTCCCTCTGTTTCTTTCGCCATCTAATATTTCGCAGTTAATCCACCGGATACACCGGCTGTTTCGTGGAACCTTATCGACCCGCTCCGTCGTTCCTGTCGCAACCGAACGGTCTATCAACCGAAGCCTTTAATGCGAACCTTCGATCAACCGTGCACGATCCACGGGTCTGCTCCGTTTGATTAATCGGCTAGGACCGATTCTAATGTTCCGGTGCTCGATGTCGACGGCGGAACTTGTACCTCGAGCAACTTGTAGCTGCCCGTGGAACGTCGCGTCCAAAAAGAAAAGAACGCTTCGCGCGTGGGGAAGGCGAGGGGGGCACGCAACAGTTCCCCCCTCGATCCCGAGTGAGACGTCGCGCGATAAACGTGTTCCCGGTGGCTCGGAAGGATATCGCTCGTTACGATTACCGATTAACGATCCTTCGATGATGCGAGCGGAGGTCATGAGCGTCGGATGCGAAGATAAGGAAAGCTGAATTACGCGATTCAACGATCGGTCCCGGGTAAACACTGCCGCGGCGCGGCCGTATAACGATGATCGCGCCGGAGAGTCCAGAGTAATATCGACTGCAAAGTGGCTCTCGGCTCTCTCTCTCTCTCTCTCTCCCTCTCTCTCTCTCTCTCTCTCTTTCTCTTGGAGAGTCCGTCGCCTCGGAGGCCGCAAAAAAAGCATTTCGCCGAGTCGAACCGAGCACCCGCTCGATCGAATCCTCCCGGACCCTCTTCGCCACGGTCGCGCAACTTGCCCCCGGAGTTAATTTAACTTTCGCGATTCCGCCAATCGCGTACCCTCGCGAGTTAGTTGCCCGAGGTGGCTGCCGTGAAACGGACGGCGCGGCGGAACGTGATGCGCGTACCTCCAGGAACAAGGTGGCGGCGTGCTCTCCCTCTCTCTTTCTCTTTCTCTTTCACTTGCTCTTTCTCGCTCGCCCTCTGGGCTGCAGCTAACCCCAAGGCCGAGCGAGGGGTGGTCTCGGGCACGAGAGCTCAATATATATTAAGATCCGCGAACCCTCCGCTAGACTGAAAGTTCGTCTACCCCGCGCTACCCCCTAAGTCTTCCCACGAACGCTCCTCCACCCTCATAGACCGAGGCTACACCATCGGAATTGCGATTATGGTGGCAATATTACCGCCGCGGAGCGAGCAGGAAAGAAAGACCGTCTCCTCTCCTCGGCTGTACTGGGTGTCCCGCGCAAAAAATCACTTCTGAGAATAGTCCGACGATTTAGCTAACTCGCAAGATCCACTCGAAAGCGCTGCTCTCGATCGCGTCGATTCGACCGGTCGACGGAAGGGTGCGGTTTCGTCGCGACCACGTCAAGCATAAGCTGTCGACGCTTGTAGAAGTGGAGAAAATCGGCCATAGATCGACTTGGCCCTGCCTTTTCGGCTTATATTTTCTTGAAAATATCGTTCTCCGATCGGGTTATCGACGAACACCCGGTACAGCCACACGCGAAGAAAGAGGAACGTCTACTTGTTGGCATCTCTTTCGGGTATCCTCGTTCATCGACTCGCGAAGACCAGAGGATGGATCGTTGGCAGCCGCCGCCTCGAAGCTTATTGGCTTTATTTCGAAACCGGCGCGGAGTGGCGGTTCATATCTATTTACTGGCGCGGTTGATCCGCGAGGAAATAGAAAACGGTTATCCGCTCGGAGCCGGCGAGTGACTCGGGGCTAACGCGGGGCTGCGGCCGCGGATGCTCATGTTCCCGACAAATCGATAGCTTAATGCCTGGTTCGTGTAACGCGTTACACTTTATTGCCGCGGACTAAATTTCATCGTTTTCCCGGGAACAAAACCGCGGAATCCATTGGCGGACGCGGGATAACCGCGCGGAACGTTGCTTTTTCTATACGCCGAGGATTCTTTTGTCCGGGTCAACGTTCCTCCGGGTATTCTCTCTTCCGATCTGGGTTCTCCCCCCTGCTTCGAGCACACACACGTACCGTTCTTCGCGACGGTGCCGCGTGACGAACCGAGGGAAACCGCGGATTTTCCGTGGATATATCGCGCGCCGGTCGGCGGGTGCCGATCCGCGAGGCCGATTCAATATCCGCGAAGACCGACGAGGGGCGTTCGTGCTCGACATAATTTCCGAGCGAATTAATAATCGACGATCGACGCGGAAGAACGATATTTTTCCCAGGCAGTTTTGTCGAGGACGCCGAGGGTCGAGGGCCTGCTGGTCGCGTTGTGGGGAGCGGCGAGGCGGGGGCGGATATCGCGCGGCCATTACACGCGAAGCAATTAAACGCGACGCCGCGCGCCGAGCGGAAATATTTTTTCCCCCGTGTTCCGGCCGAATTCGCGACGCGCTTTCGCCGCTCTCGATTTACCTCGATCGCGACCGCCTCCCCCCCGCCCCTCCCCTCCAGACAACGTTAGCCGCGCGTTCTATTATCTCGGCCGATTTCGAATGCGGGAAATTCCTCGATCCCTCGAATCGACTGGTCGCTAATGGATTCGCGGTGGTGCGGCGTCGCGCGCGCGCGACTCGTGTGCGAACGCTGACGCGGACGCGGATTCGAGCCGCCTCGCGTTTCATCGCCGCCGGAGTCCCGTTTCCCGTCCCCCCTCTACGTCCTTCGAGCCCGTCCTCGCTCCTGTTGCCCGTCGATCCAATCGATCGCCGGCTAATTGGGAAACATCGGCCCGAAGTCCGGCGAATTTGCCATTTCACGCGATAAAAAGCAAAATTGCCTCTCGCGCGCGCTCTCCCGATCTCTCCCGCCCGCCGCTCTCGCTAATCTCGCATGCGGCACGCTAACGAACCCGAGGCGCGAAACACGTTAACCGGTGTAATTAATTTCATTTCAAATCTCCAGCGGCTCCCGGAAAGAGCAAGAGAAACTCGTTCGGTTCGGCGCTGCCTCGGCCACCGTGCTCTCCAAAGAAAGGATACGAGAGAGTGGGCGGCGATTTTACTTAGGCGTAATTCCGTTACGAGAAATATCGCGGGAGCATCGCTAACGAACCCGCCGCGCCGCTGCTCCCATGGATCGATTCCCGTGGCCGTATTCCAGAATCCGTCTGTCTCACCCCCGCTCTCGCTCTCCTTCTCTCTCTCTCTCTCTCTCTCTCTCCCATTTTTTTTTCTTTATTTTCCGCCACTAATAAGTAATTTCACGGGAGGGTCGCGCCGCTGGGAAATCCGGCTCGCCGAAAAATTGACGCGGCACGTTAAAAGAGGACTGTCTCGGCGGGATCCAATTAAATTCCGCGGCGTTAACGACGCGCGTACTCTGTCTTTTTTCGCTTCGCGGCAGCTCCGGAGGCTCTCGTGAAAGAATGACGTAAAAGCGCGGCGAAGAGGCGACAGGAGATGGAAAGGGAGGAAAAGAGAGAGAGAGGGGGGGAGAGGGAGAGGAGGCGAGTAGAAAGCGAGAGGGAGTTGTAGAGACACCGGGGGAAAGAGAAATGGACGGGGGTGGAATTTACCGTCCTAACGCAATTTCCCAGGCGATAAAGCTCCGGCAGAGGCGTCGAAATAACATCTCCAGGACTTTTCTTCGTTCCTCTAATAGTCTTTGCACGCCACGATATTACGGCGCGCCTTCCGTCGCCGCGAAGGAGGCCGACAGCTCTAAACTCTGCCTCGTCGACTCGTCGATAATCGCGATCGACTCGAAGCACGGTAATTAACGTCGCGCGATTCGCCACGATTTTTCTCGATCCGTGTTGACGCCTGCTTTCTTTTCTCCCCTCCCCCTCTCTCTTTCTCGCTCTCTCTCTCTCTCTCTCTCCCTTGTTCTTCGCGTACCGAGACGAGATGGTTGTTTTTCTACCCCCCCGTCCGCCTCGTCATCTTTCCCCGTAATAATCTCTTTGTGCTACCGAGTAACCGTACGGTTGAATTTATTGCGGCCTCCCTGCCGGAAACACGTTCGCAAGAAAATCCTCTGGGCAAAGAAGCCTGCTTCTCTCGATCTACCCGGTTTTTGCGCGTTCTTACCTACGCAGGCCCCCGAAAGAGAGAAGGAGAATAGAGGACGAGGGCCGGGAGAGAGGAGGAGGCTGTCGACGAGCACGGGAGGACGGCCACGAGGATGACGATGACGACGACGACGGGTCCTTCTTGCTCGGTCGGAACTTTTTGCGGTCTCTCTCGGGACGAGCCCGAGCCCGAGCCCGAGCCCAAGCCCGAGCCTGAGCCAGAGCCCGAGCCGAGGGGGGCAATAAAACTAATGGTAACGCGCGCCGGTAATTCCTTGCGGTCTGTTTGTCGCAAGTCGACGACCTGGCCTCTCCGCCTCGTCATTTGCCGAGGGAGGATACCGCGTCCGACGTCGACGTACAAGTGGTTCCTCGGATCGGACACGGACCACGGCCCCTCTCGTTTCTCTCTCTCTCTCTCTCTCTCTCTCTCTCTCTCTCCCCTTTCTCTCTCTCTCTCTCTCTCTCTCTTGCTCTCTCCCTTGTCCACGATCCCCCTGTCTAGCGATCGACGCGATAGAGATCGAAAATCGCTGCCTCCGTCCGTCCCACTCGCCGGTCGAAAACTTCGACCCGGAATTCCTTGAAAGTTTCTGTAAATATCATCGGCGGGGCGGCCGGCTGAAATCAATAGGAAGACCTTGAAGCGTGGAGCGGAAGAACTCCTCGGAGAACGAGAGACGGGGGGGCCGAATCTCGCGACGAGGGGTTTCGAGAAAAGCTGATTTCGTAGATGCTGACGCGGTGGAATCTCGCGTAATCCGAACGCAAACAGCGCGAGCACCGCTCGCTGTTAGGGTCGCGGAAAAGGGATCTATCTCCCCGCAAAGCCGTGGCCTCGGCCCGGCCCGGCCCGGCCCGATTCGCGTTATTTAAACTCCGTTTATCTTATCGCGGTTGATTCGGCGACGCGAGCCGAGCGTGTACGGCGTCGAAATCGGCGTGCCCGGGGGTCCGAGAGGGCCCGCGCGGGCTGCGCAAAACCCCGGCTAACGAGTGGCTATCGCACGAAATTAAGATCGTCCCGTGTGTTCTGGCTTGATTGCAGTGGGTGGAAGAGTCGTTCACGAACTTCGACAAGGGCATCAATTGGCGGAGCTACGTTGTCTGCGACGTTGCGTACAACAACGTGAACAATTGGCTGTGGACGCCGTTCGTCGAGAGGGGTCCGGCGAACCGCATGTACGTAGAAATCAAATTCACGATCCGTGACTGCTCGATGTTCCCCGGAACCGCGCGCAGCTGCAAGGAGACCTTCAGCCTGCTCTACTACGAGTTCGACGTCGCCACCAAGGAGACGCCGCCCTGGGAGACAGACAGCTACAAGTTGATCGGTAAGCTCGCCAAAATTCTCTTATCATCCCTCTCGCAACCGGGAAGACGAAAAAAACGTGTCTGGCACGCTCGCAGGACGCATCGCCGCCGGCGAGGGGAGGTTCAACACGAACGCCGAGGTGGTGATCAACACGGAGGTGAAGTCGATCCCGGTGACCAAGAAGGGCGTGTACTTCGCGTTCCGCGACCAGGGCGCCTGCATCTCGATCCTCGCGATCAAGGTATACTACATCAGCTGCCCGGAGATCTCGATGAACTTCGCCCACTTCCCGGCGACCCCGACCGGTCGCGAGGTCGCGCTGATCGAGCAGACGATCGGCACCTGCGTGGACAACGCGGTGGTCATCGAGCAGCCCACCTTCCTCTGCAAGGGAGACGGCAAATGGTACCTGCCGAACGGCGGCTGCCACTGCAAGCCCGGCTACCACGCCGACGTCGAGAAACAGGAGTGCACCGAGTGCCCGGTCGGCAAGTTCAAGTACGAGGCGGGATCGCACAGCTGCGAGCTGTGCCCGGCGCACAGCAAGTCCTCCGCCCTCGGGTTCACCGAGTGCCGGTGCAACCCTGGATACTTCAGGGCGGAGAAGGACCCCAAGAACATGCCCTGCACGCGTGAGTGTCTTCTCCTAGCCTGCGCTAAATTCTCTCGAATTATATCCATCGGCTTGTAAACGAAAGAAGGTACAATTTGGGAAGAGGAGATATTCACAGTTGCCGATTGGCATCGTAAAAACGAACCGCGAGGATCGAATAATCGTATCTGCTCTTCCCAAATAATCCATTCTCGTTTCCAAGCCGAAGGATAATCTGAGAGAATTGACTATACTTGCCCCGCTACTCGTCGTCCTTGATCCGGTTTAACCATCGATCGTTCTTGCAGAACCACCGACAGCGCCGCAGAACCTCACGGTGAACTTTGTCGACCAGTCCACCGTCATCCTCTCCTGGAACGCGCCTCATATGCTGGGCGGCAGGACCGACACCACCTACAGGGTGGTCTGCGACGCCTGCAGCATGGGCGTCAAGTACATTCCCAGCACCGTAAGTTCTCTTCCCTTCGGCCATTCGCTTCGACCGTTCTCTTCGACCGGCCTAGCCGACCGAGGTCTAAACGATTCTCCCTCTCTGAAGCAGGACGTCTTCAACGACACGAAGATCACGATCACCGGCTTGAACGCGGTGACCACCTATCGGTTCCAAGTGTTCGCTGAGAACGGCGTGTCGACGCTGGCAGGCAAGTCGGAGTACGTGGACATCACCGTGACCACCGAGGCCAGCGTGCCCAGCCTCGTGAGCAACGTCCGCATCACCAGCGTCAAGAGCTCCGAGCTCAGCATCAGCTGGGACGCTCCCATAGCCGAGATAAGCGGAGACAGCGACCTGGTCGAGCGATACGAAGGTGAGATCGCCTCTTCCCGAGCAATTGGACAGCGATTTCTCCCAGAAATGTTCGGAGATCGGAATTGAAACCGGCAGATCCGAGAATACCGAGTCGCGATGACTTCACTTTTTTGTTTCTAATTTTTTGCCACGATGCGAAGGTGATTCCGCGGCCACGTGCCACGATTCGACCGTCACGAACCTTGTAGCTCCGCTTTCTTACTCGACATCTCAGCATCGACGTAGCAATAAATTACGCAGGTGCAGGACTAGCGCAGGGGAATTCGTAGCAACCCGAAATTTGGCATTTCCGGGAGAAATTGCTGTACCTGTTCGCAAACGTACTAATTCGTGGTTGTTTCGTTTTTTTTTGGCTCAGTGAGGTGTTATCCGCGGTACGACGACGCTACCAACGCTACCGTCGTCCAAACCTCGGACCTCTCCGCGACGTTCAAGGGCCTGAAACCGTCGACGGATTACGCGATCCAAGTGCGGGCGAAAACGACCAGAGGCTGGGGCGAGTACACCCCGGTGGTGTTCAAAAAGACGCCGCACGCCATGGGTCTAGGTAATTGTTTGGAAGACGGTGGAACAGCGGAGAGCCGTCTTCGTGTTGGGAATCGGTTTTCCGAACGGTTGTTGTCTCGGTTGCAGATTACGTGGGCGAGGACGACAACATGCAAGTGAGGATCATAGCGGGCGCGATCGTGGCCGTGGTGGTTCTGCTGGTGATCATCATCATTATGACAGTTCTGATACTGAGAAGGTACGACCGGTCGATCAAAATTCGTTCGCATGTCCCTCCGGGATTCTTTCGATTGCATTGATGCGATGTAATGATTTCGCTGCAGCAGGGCCTCGGACGAGTGCAACAAGAAACAGCCGAGCGACTGCGATACCTTGGAGTACAGGAACGGCGAAGGTACGTTCGTCCAACGCCGACAGGCCTCGGACAACAAACTCTCTCTTTCCTTCATAAATTTATTATCGCTACTACCCCCTGTCACTTTCATAGTTGTTTCACTGCGCCCTCGTGTCTTGTGACTAATATTGTTGGAACCACCAAACCCCGTTAGACCCAAGCAAGTATCAAACCCTAGCCCCCCCCCCCCCTGCAAAACCCCTCTCACCGACTCATGTGTATACAGTACCCCAGTAACCGGTAAATGTCTTGTCGCCGAACACCCACTGCTAGTTAGAGGTTTCTCTCTTTTCTAAAATGAAAGAAAGATTGCTGAAAAGTGGTTCACCTTGATTTTGTTTTCTCGAAGAAAAATGGAAATGAGAACGAAAAAAAGAAACCGACGAAAAAGACATGCGAATGGAAAGTGGACGCGTACACGACACACAGATACACTCGCGTGGTGCACGCAAGGAACGTAACGAAAAAAGTAACCAAACAAAAAAGTACGAAAATGAGAAAAAGAAAATAACCGAAAAAAACAGAAAAAAAGCAACGAGAGACGTGCTTTTTTTTTTATTTAATTGCCGGGAAAATTCACTCACGCCGATTCCGGTCTGCCGCCGTACTGTTATTATTCTAACCGAATTCTTTCGATTCTTTCTTTTCATGTGCGATTCCCCTAATCTATCGAACCTGCCTCCATGAACAAATCCATGAAAAAACCCAATGAAACAATGTACACAATCGCCTGCTACTACAGGACTAGTTGTGACCTACAGTAAGTCTTCTCCAACACCTCAAGTTTTATTTTCTAGGAACTCGGTTTTACGTAGTTACTTCTTGCACCCCCTTTGTACATGCATCTTTGTCAGCTCGCGTTCCGGATTCTGAAAGCACGGGCACGCACGGCAGCACTCTTTTTCGCTTCCTGCTCTCTCGCTTCTACCCGTCCATCGTTGAACGGAATGCGCGTTTTCCTTTGGTCTCGCGAATGCAGAATGCAACCCCGCCTCGGGAACAGAAACGTGGAGAGAGATCAACGGTGATACAGCGAGAGAGAGCGAGAGAAAGAGAGAGAGAGCGAGCGAGTGAGAGATACAAAGAGAAAGAGAGAGAGAGAGAGCCGCCGTGCGTGCTCGCGTTTCGCGTGCTTGCCTACGTTGCGACGCGTATACTCTGTGTCTTTACCGTTCTGCATGCTCACTGTTCTTAGCGTGTTGTCACTTGCCATTGCACTCGTTTCACTTCAAGTATGTTGTTCTATCGTTCTTCGCTCTGTTTTATTTTATATGTACACGCATAAGTGCCGCGGCTACGGCGAACAACCGCCGCCGACGGTGGACGGGGGACGAAAGCTGCGCAAACATCGGGCAACGAAATCGAACATCCCTCAGTTCGTCGACACGTTGCGCATCTTTTCGACGTCTCTCGCCATTCCTTCTCGTTTAGCTTCGCGACTCATACTCCTCTCGATCACATCATCGAACAAACACCCATCGCTTCTTTTTGTTTGCTGTTTTGTCAATTAGTGTGTTGGTTGTTGTGTTGTTCACAGTGCACTGCAAAATGGACAGTTCACCGATTGTGACAACCCACACCAACAACAAGAGCAAGTCCTCGCGTAAGTCCTCACTCACAGTCCCAGCTAAGACACACGAAAAACGTCGGAGGAACCGCGAGAACTATACTTGAACACGCGACACCCGCACACAACTCTGTCGCCCGAAGAAACATCCTCCGCTTATTCTTCTTCTCTTCTCGCTCTTGCCTTTTTTCTCTCTCTCTCTCTCTCTCTCACTCTCTCTCTCTCTATCTATCTATCTATCTATCTATCTATCTCTGTCTCTGTCTCTCTGTTAATGAAATCGTCTCTGTCTCTGGACCGTTTTGGACGTTACACCGTAGTAGACACAGAAGCACGATAGCATGCCTCGATTCCTTCTCTCGTACTTTGTTTGTTCGTTCTGCATCGTGTGTCTGCTCTCTCGTACTCTTTTTCCCAGCCGGACACCGATCTTTCGGACCGGACGATCGACGTTCCGTGAAACGTTCCGAGCGTTGACACGCGGGAAATGCTGGATGTTCCGGTGGAACTCGAATTAATCGGTCTCCCGCGGAGAGAGCGTAACGCGAGCGTTCAGCTGGGTCGCAGATCCATGCCGCGGACACGTGAATTAACGGCGGACCGACCGAGTAATTCGATTCGAACCGGAGCATCCTCTGCACTCGGTGCGCCGCGACTAACGTCATTCAATCCGATGCATCGTTGATTGAGATCGTTTGGCGTATTAGGCATGCGAGAATTTCTGCTCTGGCATGAGAATTGGTTATGCGCGAGATCTTTTAATTATATTTTTTTCCATTTTTTAGTTCTCTACTTTTCACCTTTGTTTTTAGTTGTACCTGTTTTTCTTTTTATTTCACCTTTTTTTTTTTTAGTTGCACCCGTTTCTCGTCTTAGTCGTACCTGTTTTATTTTTATTTTTTAGTTGTACCTGTTATTCATTTTGAGTTGTACCCGTTTAGTTCTAGTTGCGCCCGTTTTATTTTTTAGTTGTACCTTGTTCTCTAGTTTCTCTCGTTTCTCGCAGTTTTTTGACGATACCGTCGCATAGCGCAGCCTAGAAACGTAAACTCGGCCATGTCGCCGAACACTTTTCGTTGTTTGCGTTTTGCGTTATGTTCGTTTGTTCGTTTCGAAACACTGTTCTACTTACTCGACGACGGAAACACGATCGATGGTGCCCGTCGACGGGATCTTTTTGTTTCTTTTATTTTTTGTTTTAATTTTTTTTAGAAATAAATGATCTCGGGAATCAACGACGAGACTTCGAACGGCTCTAGATAGACATAGATCGTCGATCTTGCGCTCCAGCGTTCCCTGTTCGCAATTTGATCTGTTGATGAAATTTTTTTTAGTTCACACTCTGGAGCGTAACGAGTCTCGTTCATTTGTTCTCTTTACCTTTTTTTTTTTTGTTGAAAGAGGAAGGGTGTGTGAGTGTTTTCACGGGATGATACGGTTCTTTGTCAGGCACGGAGCGAGTGTTGCCCTGTAACGCTCCGAGATTCCGTCAAAATTTAACACACCGGCCCTCGTGTTAATATAATGAACTCTGTTTTGGTGACGTTGCAGTGACCACGCCGCTGTTCACACCTGCAGTGGGGGTCGCTGCCGCAGGTGCTGGAGGCGCCGGTGGTGCGAGCGCGAGGAGTTACGTCGATCCTCACACCTACGAGGACCCGAACCAGGCCGTAAGGGAGTTCGCCCGTGAGATCGACGCTGGATACATCACGATAGAAGCCATCATTGGTACTCGAATCCTCTATTTACTGTTCCCGCGCCTACAACCCCCCGCACAATGCGTATACGTTACACGTGAACACAGTAACTTCTCCCAGAAACGTCGCGATTCTAAGGCAGCGGTCAGCAATATAAATATATAGTAATGCCAGAATAAAAACGATGACTTAACCTTATTATTTCTAATCTTTTGCCACGATTCGAAGGCAATTCGGAGGCCACATGCCACGATTCGACGGTCATGAATGAACCTTGTAGCTCCGAACAACCCTTAACGTCGACGTTGCAATAAATTACATAGTCCATATGACGAGCACAGGGAAATTCTCAGCAACCCAAAATTCGGCATTTCCGGGAGAAGTTACTGTACCTGGATTTTATATTTTTATCCCGCGTGGCCACGCCGCGCGTCGTCCTCCCGCGTATTCTCTTTCGACCGATCCCCGCGTTATCCGCCTGTTTCTACCGTTCTCTGGATCATCGACAGGTGGCGGCGAATTCGGCGACGTGTGTCGAGGAAAGCTGAAGCTGCCGCCGGACGGTCGGACGGAGATCGACGTTGCCATCAAGACCCTGAAGCCGGGCTCCGCGGACAAGGCTCGCAACGACTTCCTCACCGAGGCCTCGATCATGGGCCAGTTCGAGCACCCGAACGTGATATTCCTCCAGGGGGTCGTGACCAAGAGCAACCCGGTGATGATCATCACCGAGTTCATGGAGAACGGCAGCCTGGACACCTTCCTGCGCGCGAACGACGGCAAGTTCCAGGTGCTCCAGCTGGTCGGCATGCTGCGCGGCATCGCCAGCGGCATGCAGTACCTCGCGGAGATGAACTACGTGCACCGGGACCTCGCGGCGAGGAACGTCCTCGTGAACGCCGCCCTCGTGTGCAAGATCGCGGACTTTGGACTGAGCAGGGAAATCGAGAGCGCCACGGAGGGAGCATACACGACCAGGGTGAGCCGAACAGCTCGTTGCGCCTTAGTCTAGCTTCCGTGACAGCTGCTGCCTATTACAGAGTCATCGTTTTATACATTTATAGCAAAATCGGGTAGTTCTAATGTAAAGTATTGTAAAGATCGAAGGAATTTAACAATGTCAATCTACTGTCTTCAATCTATTAACACGTTAAGCGCGGAGACGACACTGTCGGGCTTTCCATTAGCGAGGAAGGCCGAGGTTATTTTTTAACCTTGAGCCTGCCGGTCTCGTGAACCGATGTCGTCCAAACGATAGATTGTGTCAAGATTATCATGCGCTGTCGATCCCTGAGAACTAACGGCATCCAAAAGAAATGTCCACGGTCAGAGGGTCGGCGCCGCGCTTAACGTGTTAAAGGGATCTATGAAAGAACGAACTTGCTGTTCAATCTCTGTTTCTCGCAATTCGTGCAGACAACGGCTGCATAAAAATCCGGTTATCGTTTAGACCGCCACGGGCGTCCGAGACTCGACTCTTGTCCGCGATAGCTCTGATACGTGGAGGCTACGGCCTCTTTAACCTTGAAATTGAATGATCATGAAAGCCCGTGTGTTCGACTGAAAAGGGAGGAAAGATTCCGGTGCGATGGACAGCTCCTGAGGCGATAGCGTTCCGGAAGTTCACGAGCGCGTCGGACGTGTGGAGCATGGGGATCGTGTGTTGGGAGGTGATGTCGTACGGCGAGAGGCCGTACTGGAATTGGTCGAACCAGGACGTGATCAAGTCGATCGAGAAAGGCTACAGGCTTCCAGCGCCGATGGACTGTCCGGAGGCGATCTACCAGCTGATGCTCGACTGCTGGCAGAAGGAACGGACTCATCGCCCGACCTTCGCCAACCTTACCCAGACCTTGGACAAGCTGATCCGGAGCCCGGAGACGCTCAGGAAAATCGCCCAGAACAGGTAAACGTTCTCTGTCCTTTCGATCGCTGTGAGAACTTGTCCGCGGGCACGCGTGTCGCGTCCTCTTTTTCTCGCGCCGCTGACAAGCTATCGCGCGCGTTGCTCGTATTGCAATCGCGGCCACGTATACTAACTCGCGTGCGAAGTCTCATTGTTCGTAGGAATCGTTTTTTGTTGCGCGCGGACTAACGTAATCGAGAAGAATAAGTCGTTTTGCCTGTTCATCGCGCGAACGATTCGATGGGCCCAGAGCACCGTTCCGCTTCGCTCTGCTCCGCTTTCCGCTCCGCTCTCCGTTCTCCGCTCTGCTCCGCTCTGCTCCGCTTCGAGGCTGCGAGCAACACGGATCGATTCCGCGGCGCGCGTGTGTTTGTTTTGTTTTGCCCTCGCCTCGGAGCGGAGCGGAGCGGAAGAGCGAGCAACGAAATTATCGCGGCTCGAATATCGGCAGAGAGCGCATCTCTCCTCTGCCGCCCCCATCGAATCGTTCGTCCATCATCTCTCTTAACACGATATCATGCCGCATGCCACGCGTATTCACACTTCGTGTCCATAAATTAATTTCTCTCGACAGCCAAAGGTTTTTTCCGTTTCTCTCGCTGAATACTTGCGAAGCTCACACCGCTCTCTGCGCTCTCCACGTACGCTGTTTAGACCTGGGCTTTGATATGTTGTTGCTCATTCGTATAATAGGATGTCACGCCATTAAGCGACGTGTATGTACGCCTGTTAATGACCGTCCAGGATAATGTCATTTTACGATTAATCTGTGTGTGTGCGCGCGCCCACCAACCCGACAGAGACAGATTTTTCGTCTGCACGCGACGCGCTCGAGGCGTCGTGAAACGCACCCTCGACCTGATTGGCATTACTGGAAGCGGGCATATAATCTGTGAATCGAAATACTGGACTGTGATTCTTTTCGTACGCACCATTTTTCATCTGTTTCTCTTTTTTTTTTCGTAAACAAGTTGCCGTTTACTTTCGATTGGTTCACGCTGCTGTGTACTTTTTCTCTATTTTTTTTTTTTTTAATTTAATTTAACTTAACTCAATTTAATTTAATTTCGTCTCAATCTTCCGCTTTCTTTCCGAACTTCGGTTCTCTCAAGTTGGTACGGTTTTCCCGTAGCACGAGTAAAGTCGTCAAAATTGATTTTGGCAGAGCGCCTCCGCTTCCTCCGCTTCCCGTTCTCTTCGCATCGAAATTCGAATCCGACCCCGGAGGACAACTCGCGCCGCGCGTTCCCGGACGAGAACGCGCGGCGGACGTGTGTGTTTCTGTTGGATTATTCTTGTTTGCAGCACATATTATTCTTTCCGACGGATCTCTTTCTCGGCGGACACGCGCGAGCCCCCGGAAAACTCACTCGCGAGCAATGTCTCCCTGCGACGCTAACAAAAAAGTGGCTTTTCTTGCGTGCGCGCACGTTTCTGCGCTTTTTCGGGAACGGCTTCTAACTTCCTTTGGAACGCGCGCGCTGCTCGATGCGAATGAAAGAAAAGAAATGAAGCAAAAAGGGATGAAAAGAAAAAGAAAAGACAAATCGAAAAAAAGAGTAAACGATCCGCTGGTGCCAACGACCACTTCCGTCTCCGTTGTCCGTGCTACTTTTGCTGGGAGGAAAATTAATTTATGGACGAAAGTCTCTGGCGCGAATCATTCTCGCGGGATAATTTTGCCGTTCGCGTTTCAAGAGAACGACGAAAAAGTGCGCATCGCACTGCGGTGGCTTTCAGAGAGCTTTTATCGCTTTAGCGCTTATCGTTTCTGTAATCCTCGATCCCCTTTACCCTTCCGACGCCCTCCGTCGCGTCGCGCGTCCTTTTCCATCTCGTCCTTTTCCAACTTGCCCCCAATCCCCCTCCCCCCCCCCCCCCCCCCCCCCCCCCCCCCCACCCCCCCCCCCCCCCC